CCTCTTAATGCGAATTATATAGATACTTGCCATTAGGTCAACTAGACTTTAGTTACCATCGCGCAGGTCGGTATACAGCCAGCCATCAAGGCGCCTTGTTAAGTGTTTTTAAAAGCCGTTGGCGATCAGGCAGGTTCATCAGCGGAAACGCCTTGTACTTCTTCTACGGTTCCTTGAGCCTTCAAAGGACATCATCGGGAGAAAAGTCCTGGGTTGTGCCCTTTTTACAAATAACAGAAGAGTTGAGTAAAGATATCTATTCTTCTTCTACATAATTCAAATGGACACTGGACAGAGAGTACAAGTACCAGTTAAACTCAAAGTGATTGCATGCACGCGCTGCAAGCCATTTACGATTCCAGTTTGTGATCCGCCACCATCACGCCAACGGCTAAAAGGATGTAGCCAACCAACATCATCTCCATGGACTTAAGTTTTGGACAGGGTCTTTGTTTCATCCTATCCCGACTCTACCCATTCCCTTTCCTCTGATGAGGGCGGGCCACCTCATCAATTGACTCCGAAACATGAGGGAAACATCAAGCGTCTATTACCATCACCTCTGATATCGTTGGCTATTGTCATCAACCGTCTAATTCTCATAGGCCATGTGGCTGCTCTGGATCAACGAATTCACTACATCTTACCAGTACCTGACAGTGAGGAGCCGAGACATGACTGACTTACCATAAGTAAGTCAAAGATAACAAGATATAAGATATTATGTAGAGTGTTTTTTTATTTATTTGCCTTTTCGTTATTCATTACATGTAAGAGAGAAAAAATAAAAATAAAAATAAAATAAAACAGATCGTCAATGTAAAACTCCCAAATCGTCATCAAGCATTCATCGATCGTTAGACATGAGGAAAATCAGAAAGTGGAATATGAAAAGAAAAAAGTAAACCATCCAACTTCTCGCCCGCCTTTCCATCGTCGTCTCTCGACCGCTCAGCTGACTCAGTTTATATCATCTCCGCTTTACATTCTCCTTCTCTTTTGAGCAAGCTGTTTTTTTCTTGCTTCTGAGTAATAAGCGACTCGGATCCCAAAACACTCAAGAGATGATGCATCATGATAACTCGCTCTCTGACATGCAAATTCATTTAGTTTCTTATCCCCTCAAACTGTTGATTCAACTGAGCTATTTTTAAAGTGAAAGAGCACAATGTCGTTTAACGATAGCGAGCGGAGGGAGCACGGTCGTAAATCACCTCCGTTTCCCTGATGCGCTCGCGGTCATCTCGCCGAGGGGCTGTTGGTGCTGGGCGTCTGTCATAGGACCTTCGGTCAATGTCCTCATAATAATCACGCTCAATCCGGATGCTATCGCGCGCTCGCTGTCGCCTAGATCGTCGAATATCATCAGATAGCTCAGTCAACTTCAGAACGTCATCCTGCGGGAACCATTATGTTAGCAGACTTGTTTCGGTCAAGGTTTAAAGGCATCGCAACAACAAGACTTACATATTTCATGTAGTCCATGACATAGAAGAACATGTCAGTCTCCTCGTATTCATATCCGAGCTCCTCGATAGCCTCTCGGATGACCAGGTCCTTGGTGATCTCGGTCCACATCTCCTTAGGCTGCCTCCTGTCGGTGACTCTGTCAATTTCAATCTCACGGTCACGGTCGAGGACGGACACGCTGACACGCTCGCGGCCGAGACCAGGAGGCGGAGAGGGGGCTCTGTTGGATAAATCATCTCTGATATCCCTCTCTCGCTCCGGGACGAACTTGGTCCTCCTCACGCCGCTGTACTTGGACCAAGTAGTGTCGGTGGCTGCGCCGCCAATACCGTCCATGCGTATCCGCTCAGTTCCGGGCGGCACATCGACGATGGCCCAATCCCTGGTAGCGCCTCCCCAAGCCTCGCCCATTCGTCCACGGCCGTCGACCTTGGACGTAATGTACTCAGCCTCGTCATCCTCAACAGGGCGCGCGGCGGCTGAGTGAGCCCTCCGACGGCTTCTGGTCTCATCAATTTTGAGGTCGCGGCGGACGACAATGTCGTCATCATAAAAGCGGCTGGAGCGCCTCTCACGGCTCTTGGAGCGAGTGCGGCTGGCGGATCGATGAATGTCAACTTCCACTCCAGTGCGGCCCTTGGACAGAGAAATGTCAATGTCAGTCTCGCGTGTCTCGCGCTCTCTCGGGCGGGACCGGGCCCGGGCCGCTGGAGGCGGGGATGGCGGCCTGGCTTGAATCATGCCTAAAGACCCGTTAGCATCGAACTCTATTTGACAACGCCCAAACAACCGGGATTTCTGTAGCGAGAAAAGAAAAACCACTCACCATGGTCAATGTCTGTGTAGTGAGTAATAACCTCACGCTCTATAACGGGGCCGCGAACAACGGGAGGAGCTGGTGGCGGTGAGGGCGACGGAGAGGGCACCCGCTCACGCTCACGCTCTCTCTCAATGATGCGGATGTGCTCAGAAGTGTCGGTGGGCTCAACATATCGGACGGCCCCGGCTCTGGGCGAGGGAGACCTGCGCCGGGCAACCGAGGGGCTGCGAATCTTCTCGGTGAATCGAATCTCTTCCTCGGGCGCGACGCTCTGGGCGCGGCGCACAAGGCGCTCCTCACGGAAGACAGGCTCGCGCGGCTGGCGCTGCTCGTAGGGATCTTCGCGCGGGCGCAGGACCATGGGGCCAGCCTCGGGCCGTCGAGATCTCATGAAGTCAGGCAGATCGCCATCTCGCTCACGGAAGCGCACATCAATCTCCTCAAACTCGCCGCGGCGAGCTCTTGGTGGCGCGGGGCTGCGGGTAACGGTGCGAGTGCGGATGTCGTCAAACTCGACGGCGGACCGACGATAGTCCTGGTCCCGGTCTCGATAGGCCATTGTTCTGCGTGCCTTGTGTCTTTTTTTTTTAAGCTTCTTTGGCTGGTCGGTCTCGTGTGCCGCGAGTCTCAAGTCTTAAGTCTCAAGAGGAAGCTCTGCGCTCCTCTTTGTGTGGTGTGTCTGAGTAACAAAAAAGCCGGACAAGCGTCTTCTGCGGTGACTTCTGCTTTATCAATCAGTATAAGCGGGAGGAGTCGAAGCGGGGTCCAGGTGGGAACGTCATGCGGCTGAGACGAAATGCCCTCCCTTGTGACGTTTGCCAAAGAGAAGAGAGCGGCAGAGCGTGAAAGAGAAGCGCGGGCACTCACCTTTCTTTTTTCTTTTTTCCAAACAGACAAAGAGAGAGCACGCGCACGCGGCAAGCGAGAGACTCGAAGTCGGAAACGGGAAAAGGGCGTCGAACAAGGTGCGCAGCGACGAAACTAGACAAAATGCAGTGTGCAGAGGCGGACGGCAAAGCGAAGGGGAGGCGGGGGAGAGGACAAATAAAAAGAGCCCCGGCGCTGATTTCGACGATTTTCTAGCCTTGGTCTGGCAGCAGCTCCAGGCGGGCGCCAACGGCCAGAGGGGCAGTGATGACTTTTTAGAGGCAGCAAGGCAGTATCAGCTGGCGACAGGGGGTTGGCCAAACGTCATCCCGCTGGAACTGGGCTCAGGCGATCAGAAGTTGCTGGTGCTAGTGCTAGAACCTGACCTGATGTCTCTGTCAAATCAGATGCATAAGAGCCCAAAAAAGAAACCAGGGGCCATCCCAGAGAAATGCGCCACCAGACGATACCGAGAGCGGACTCGAGAGCTCAAAGGCCAAGTTTCTCTGCTTTGTTTCTGGACTCTTTTCTGCTCGTCTTGTTTTTGGGGGCGCTTGGATGGGATGCTGAAACACCACACTGCTGTGCTCTGACTCTTTGTTCGGTCCATTTTGGAGCCTAAGCGGGGACAAGACTTGCTGCATTCATCATGGCGGACGAGGTGCGGCGGTACATGAGATTACAGAATGCATATATGGAGTATAGAGTATATATACGACTAGACATCAAGTACTACGAGGTACATACTGTAGTGTCAGCAACAGCAATAGGTTTGTTTGCAGGCGGTGTTGCAATAGCGCCTTGATGTAAAGATGGCAATACTACTACTAGGTACTGGCTACCGTGACGATGCTCCCAAAGAAAGGCCACCACTGGCTGGCTTGGGCGCTTGCATGTGAGACACCGCCAAGGTGCTATCGATTAACAGAGTTCAGATTGTTAATGCAGTACGTAAAACGCAGCAGCAGAAACAGCAAACCACAGAAACGCAGCAGAGAGCAAACCAAAGTCTGTCAAGAGATTCTCCCAGCCTCGCTAACAGCTGTTAGTGCTCTCGCGCTTTACGCCAGACTAACAGGAACACAGCCCGCCCGCCTCCAAAAGCCAGAAATCTACTTCTGAGCGCCGTAGCAGCGGCTCGGTCCATGCGTGGCCCCCGCCTCCAGCCTGGTGTGCAAACGCCCATTTCTCAACCTTTCCGAAAGCCTCACTTCAACGGCGTCGCCTGTGAAAGGCGCAGCCACCGGGTTCTGCGAGGGCCATGACCCTCCCTCTTGCCTTGCTCTATTCTCCTTCATCTCTCTCTCTTCTTCTTCTTTGTACTGCTTTTCTGCTGTCGACCGCATACACACCACCAACCACCCCCGGCTTGGCTCCATCCCGGCGGTGGGCTGTGAAGCTTCCCCATCCACTCACCCACCCCACCCCTCTAACGATTCCAGCCCAACCCAACTTGTCTCTCCTCTAGAGCCAAAGCTCCCACCTTAGCGCCTGGCATGGGGGCGCCAAAAGCCGTTCCTTTGAATCCCTGACGCAATGGTGCAGCAGGCTAGATTGCCCATCTTTTGCTACCGATGCTGCGTTCTTTTTTCATTTACTCGCCCTCACTTAATTAATTTTCTTTTTTTTCTTCTTTGGCCTTTCAGGTACTCGCTAGCAGCCCAACGAGGGGGGACACAGCATCATGATGGCATAGTGAATCGAGGGACAGCCCCTGGTTAGGCGTCTTTGAGCCGGGACCCTCCCCTCTCTTGATGCCAATAGTGTTCCTTGCCGTTCCATGGCCTTCTCGAAAGAGATGTCAAGACGAAAAGCACGAGTACTGTATACATACACCATGTATTACTCGCTTTTAAAAGCTGCTCCATATTATTACTTGTTTGTTCTTCATGCTAGCATTACGAGTAATACATAGTACGCAGTTCGCAGTGGCCCTCTATCCGGTGACATGCGCCGCGAACCACACCAAGCATCCAAGCCTGACGAGGCGTCCATCCATCTCGTCTCTCTTCTCTCAGCCAGAGCCAGAGCGTAGCAGCACGAATAGATGGTAGTAGCAGCAGGTAGTAGCATTCGAAAGGGTCATGGCGTCACAGCCAACCTCTCCCTCTCTTGCCGTCCCGGCTCTTTGCGCATCAGCAGCCCGGCCTGGGACCAGGGATGGGATGGCCAAGACGAAGAGGGCACCCCCGTCACATGCGTCACTAAAACCCTGGCATCGTGACCCCAAAAAAAAACTCGCTACTACCGGCGGCTGGCCACGAGAAGGAGGGAAGAGGGGTGCAGGTGAAGGTGTGTGGGTGTGGCGGCATTGCCCTCGACGCCATGACATGAGAGAACGTGATTCATGGAAGTGTTGCATACGACATGGACAATGATGAAGAAGAATATTCAAGTGCCTTGCGATAGATTAAGCGCTGCATACCGGTCCCAGATGCGATGGAGATTAACTTGAATCACCGCAGATGCAGTTCTAAACAGATACAACATGTGTACTAATGCCTACTAGCAGCGCCCGCTAATTAATGACTGCTGTAGCCCGCAACGCAGGTCCAAGGACCGGGGCCATGCGCAGCCACATGCACAAACTCCGCCATCAACTCTCGTCTTGTCTGTAGATGCTAGCACTGCGATGTGCTGCAAGGAACGCCTCGGGCTCCAGCGCGCTTCATGCCTTACGGAGCGCATCTCCAAGCTCCTCTGCTGCAGGTCATGTCCAAAGCGGCATCTAAAGCTCGGCAATATCCCATTTGCTCATATATTTCCTAGCGGTATGGCCGATGGAGAACCGTTGGTGGCCTCGCAGGTGCTGCGGCTCTGGTGCGGAGCCAGCTGGGGACACAGCCATCGAAACAAATATCGTGATACTAGTAATGATGAATTTTTTTTTATTGGTGCTATCTTTTTTTCTCTCTTTTTTTAATTTGTCTTGTTTTTTTTTTTTCTTCTGTCTTTTTCAGTTCCTTTTGTTGCACTATTGAACCAAAAACTACCTATAAAGTAAATTGTATACTCATCCTTTTCATTAACCCAAGAAACAAGGAAAAAAAGAACCAGCATAGCACCCATTAGTCCCCACCCGAATAAAGTCCACGCTTCGTATCCTTCGCAACAAGTCCTGTTAAGCTCTTCTCTGGCTTGGGATAAGGCGGTCTTCCGCCCAGAATGTCCACCACCTCTCGCATGTCCAACCAGTGGGCAGCCTTGGGTCTTCTGTTGGGCCAATCTGTGTCATTCTCTTCAAGCTCTACAATCGGTGTGAATACGACCTCGGAGCCTTGAATACCAATGACGCTTGTGCTGTTGGGATCCTTCTTCACTCGGTTGTGCGCATTGCGGCCAAAATCCTCGAGATGCTCGATACACTTGATGGCCAGACGGACAGCACGGCATCGATCCATGGGCGAAGGGACACCACCTTGCTGCACGTGGCCGGGAACGCTCTCTCGGCTTTCGAAGCGGTCATGAGCTTCCTCGCGAATAATGTTGGCAATGAGCTTCGCATCGTAGACTTTGCTGGCCTTCTCGTTGATCAGGATAAGGCGGCCTGCGCGAGACTGGCCCTTGTCCTGGTTGAAAACCTCCTTGAGGTGCTTGACGTCCGCGTTAAGCATCTCGAGGCTGATTCCTTCTTCAGGGATGTAGACAGCAGAGGCTCCCACACTGAGGCCTCCCAGTGTAGCAACGTAGCCGGAGCGCCCACCCTGAGTCTCGATAACAAAGACACGGCGGCGGGTGGCTGAAGCGGACTGCTTAATCTTGTCGCAGTAGTTGACCAGCTCATTTAGACAAGTGTCCGATCCCAACGAGTACTCGGTGCCTGGAACGTTGTTGGAGATTGTTGCCGGCAAGAGGCAAAGGGGGATGCAGAGTGATGGATACTGATCCCTAGCCTTGCGCAGCTCCGAGACGGCGTGGAATGCTTCGAAACCACCAACAATGAAAAGAGCATCAAACTCATACTCTTCGATGAGATTGGCAATTAGTTCCATGCCGGACTCTGAAGGGAGTTCACGGTTGGTACCAATCTCAGAGCCACCTTTGCTAGCCCAGCCATCAACCTCGAGCCAGTTGAACGGTCGGACAGCCCCGAGAGGCGAATCACCATGGTGGCGAGCGAACCCAGCGAAGCCATTGTGGATAGCAAGGGGCTCGTGCCCACGAGAGATGCAGTATGCAACAGCTGCGCGCACAGCGGCATTCATACCACCAGCAGGAGCGCCAACGTTGATGAATCCAATCTTCATTCGCTAAAGGGGATATCAGTAATCAATACCATCTTCAAGGTGGGAAAGATACTAACGCTTTTCTCGGGTAGCTTGTGGTCATCAATCAGAACGTTTGTAGTCGTCAAGTAGGACTTGTATTGGTCTGAGAACTCGGTGTCTCGTAGGCTCATGGCCTTTTCGAAATCCTTGGCGTCAACGGCAACAGCGACCTCCTTCGTCTCCTTAACGGCCTGCATAAGCGGCTTTCGCACAATCTTGTTCTCGTTGATAGCAATGAAGCAAGTTTCGGTCTCGGGAGTGGCCTCCAGCACAGCCTTTACAGCCTCAACACCTTGTAAGGTAGCAAGCATGCGGTCGTAGGCCACAGCTGTGCCTCCTCTCTGGACATGTCCCAATGTAGTGATTCGAGTATCGAGGGCGAGGCCTCCCTCGCTGGTGTCTGCCAGCAGATCTTTGATTTCAGAGGGTGTAATCTTGTTGCCATTTTTATCGCGGGCGCCCTCTGCGACGATGACGATCGTCTTTCTCTTTCCCATGTTGCGGTGCTGATAGGGGAAAAAAAAAAGTAAGATTAGTCGTATGTTTTAGAGGTTCAAAGAATAGTATAATTAAAAAACTTACCCGTTGAACCACGAGCTTCATATCCTCTCGCCAATCATGATCTCTTGGCCGCTCAGGGATAAAGACAAAGTCTGCTCCCGTTGCAACGCCCGCCAGCAGAGCCAGCCATCCGCAGTGTCGTCCCATGACCTCAATAACGAAAGCACGAGAGTGCGAAGAAGCCGTCGCCTCGATGTAGTCGACCATTTCGCAGATACGCGACAGGGCCGAGTAGCAGCCAATTGTCGCATCCGTGCCGGACAAGTCATTGTCAATGGATCCGACGAGACCGACGATGTTCAGGTGCCTATACGGCGCAACCTGCTCGGCGGTCAATTCCCCGTTGGCGACGAGCTCGTCAATCAATGACGGCCATTCAGCCCGGAACTTGTCAGCGCCGGTAAGAGAGCCGTCACCTCCGCAGATAATGAGGGCGTCGATGCCGTTGAGCACCATGTTCTTGGCCGCCGTCAATCGGCCGGGTCGTTCGTAAAAGGCCATGCATCGAGCAGTTCCAATCAGGGTGCCGCCCTCGGACAGGAAGCCTCTGACATCGTCCCAGCCCATCTTCTTGATGAAGTCGCCGCCCTGCACCAGACCCTCGTATCCCTCGTAGACACAAAAGGCGTCACAGCCCATATGGATGGTCATGCGGACAACGGCGCGAACAACGGCGTTCATGCCTGGGGAGTCGCCTCCCGAGGTCATGACGGCAATCTTCTTCTTGACAGACATCGTGGGCGGTAGATTCGCGAAGGAGGCCGCCGTGGTGTATCCGATGCCGCGAAAGAGGGCCTGCCAGATGCGTTGAAAGAAGCGACGAAAGGTTAAGAGGATGTCAATGGGCCCTGGAAAGAAATCTAGGTAATGCTGGAGAGGCATTTAAGGGGGCCCGTCGCCCGTGAGCCCAAGGATAAACAATATTAAGTGGTGGATAAGATATACAGGATATGGGATGCTGGTGTAGTTCAAAGTGGCATGAGGGGAATTGGCGACAAGAAGCTCTTATCGGCCCTTAATGCGATGCTATCAGTTGGCGGGGCTCTTAATTTTTTTCCCTGCCCTCTGTGATATTTTCTTCAGCACAACCTGAGAGCTTCTCGACGCAGATCTAAAAGAGGGAGAAAGGCCAATTTGAGGAGGTTGTGAAGCGCTGCTGCAGAACTCTAAGCTGAACCTAATCATGATCCGCATTTGGACGTCAGAGCGTGGCGGCTATCTCTGACGAAGATAATTCATCCATTCGTCATTTACAGCTGGTAACCCCTCCTACGTAATAGGTCCAGCACAAGCAAGGTACAGGTCTAAGTACACACTAACCGGGCCCCCTCCGTCTGATTCCTGGCGCCATGTCTGCGGTGGCGCGATACACGCACATAATGCGAATCAATCCCACTCAAGCAGTTGGCCATTGACTACAAGCACCACGTAATGGCAATGAGGGAATTTGTGAGTCGGTGTGAAGGACAAAGTCGAGGCATGTTCGTCGATACCGGCGGCGAGGCATCCCACATCACGGAGCTCCGGCAGTCGGCGGTTACTGCGCTAGAGCCCCCTGTAGAATGTCATTAGGGCCTCAGCTTCGGAGCTTTGCGAAGGTTGTACTATAAGGGCGCTAGCAGCCGGCGTAATTTATAGTAGAGACAGTAAAGGCTAGTAGGTCGTGAGGCTGCGAGTTGTTTGTACCTGCACGCAACAGATGACGAGTATCGGTACATGACCGCGAACAGCGAATCAGAGACGACCTGCAGCTCAACATCTCCACTCTAGTGTTCGCTGCGCTGGAGCTTCACAGCGCTCAGCCTCGTCAAGTTCGAAGCTGTTGATCATCTACAAACGGCGTCGCGATTGGTCATCGTAGCTGACCTCAATGAGGCTGCCAACACCACCAACCTTGGCATCTACGCATTGAACCCATCATGTCTTCAGAAGGCGGTCCGCCGCTTTCGCTACGGCCGTTCCCCGTCGCCGACCAAAAGCCCAAGAATCTCGCCGAATTCATTGCTCGAGTCAATGCCCAGCCTGGCGGCTTCCGCAGCATAACAGAGGACAAGCTCCGTGAAGAACTCAGAAACAGCGAGGACCCCGAGGCAGCCACCGACCAGGATGAAGAAATGTCCGAGGCGGCTGGGGAGGCCGACATAGCAGAAAAGGACCCCAATGTTGCGCGGATGGAAGTCTTGAAGAATATCGAGTATGCAGGCTCTTATATGATATAATATACAGGACCATCCTTTTTTGGCTCTTGAGATGAATGCTCTAACGCGCTATAAATTGCAGTATAGCCGGCAACGCTGCTCTATTGACACTCGACTCCATGTCCCTCCTCCTCTCCAAACAGAATCCGACGCAAGCAGGCTTGACGCTATCACAACAGCTCCGCGACATGGTCGGCATTGGCACTCTCGGCGCAGATAAGCTCAATGATTCAAACGCCACGCCTACAAAAACAAAAGATCAGGAGGCGACCGCCATGGGATGGACCCTTATGGAAATCAACAAGACCAGAGATTCTGCAGAAGAGGCCGCTTCATTTTTAGAAAAGGAGATCAACTCTGAGAGTAAATACTGGGAAGATATCGTCGGAGTCAAGAAAGCCGGCTGGTCTATAAGCAGAGTTCCACAGGAGAGACATACTTTGGGAGTCAGATTTGGCTTTTCAGAAGGTATGTTTGGGCTCGAGTCGTGTGCTTGTACAAAAAAAAAGGGGGGGGATGAACCTAGAAGCTAACGTCTTTTTCTCCAGCTGCTGCCGAGTTTAAAAACAATGGTCTAGCGCCCATGTGGCGTGGCCATGATGGCTCTGCAGATCTCGACTTTGGACGATTGGGCGGCGTCTCAGAAGCTCTCGTCGTGACGTATGAAAAGGACGGAAAGGTCATTGGCCGATCTACTACACGGCCGTCCTCTGATGACGAATCACTAGAGGCTCGAGTACTAGAAGCACGCAACACAATCTTCTCGCAGGAGCTGTGGCACGAGCTCACCAAAGAATCCCGCTCACTGGCTGCCTACGACGTAAAGCCTGAAGGCAGGAAACTGGCCTGCCAAATCGACGAAAGAACAAAAATCACATTGGAACTGCTGCCTTTGGAATCATGCCCCTCGCCTGAACAAGACATGCCAGAAAATGGCCTAGCAGAAAAGATATCCATGGCTCTGCATATTCTCCTTAGCTACGCGCATCGATATAATGAGCTCATGAGAATACGGCCCATCCCCCCTCACATCTCCCGCTCCTCTCGCCAACAATCCTACGCCCTCCTCCGCCCTGTCCTCGCGCGCACAATGTACCTCAAGAACGTTGAGGAATCCATGCAATACATTGGCTTATTAGTACGAACCCTCCAGAAAGCCGGTATTCAATCTTCATTCATCCTACGCACCACGCAGACGAACGCTTCCGACCCCAACTCTCGCGGGCCAAACCAGCTATCCACATCGCACACCTTGGTCCGCAATCTCCTGCAAACACAAGACTTCACCATCGAGCTCACCATACTCCCCGACATCTCCCTCACCATCCGAGGCCGTTCATTCAGCTTTCCCGTTACGGCAACCTACTACTACATCCTTCTGCCCCCCTCATCTCCTCTCCCCGCCATGTGTCCCCCCTGGTCAGAAGGCTATCCCAGCGTCCAAGCCCTAGGCGACTACCTCCGCACCGCCATCGTCTGCATCCTCACAAATCACTTTGTCAAGATGCTCTCCTCCCCTTCTTCAACAAGCGGCGATGGCTCCGCTCTCGTGGAAAGTGCCCAGGGAGCCGATAAGAAGAACTTCGATATACATTTTGCCCTAGAGCTTGGAGATGATGTTGAAGAATTGACCCTCTCTGTCAATAATGCCGCCCAGAGCGAGGAAGAAACCAAGATATGGAAATGGTCCGTAAATGGACCCAGCGAAACGACTTCGGCGGAGCAGGTTGTGAAGACGCTCATCGAAGAACAGGCTCCAATTTAGAGACTTAGGAACGAGAAGTAAATAAGGGTGAAGTAAAGACAGAGACACACAGATGGAGATAATGGAGATGCTTAATCATTCGCGATTTGCAAACAGCGCTTGGCACTCAGATAGTGTTTTGTAGGCATCATATAAACAGGCTATTGGAGTTTCGTTTTTATCTCGTTGAGAATTCAACAACAAATATAGTTTACCACACATTGCGCAGATTTTGCATGTCATATAATGAATTTCTAGTATTTCTACTTAAAAAGAAATATCTTAGCGTGTGCGTAAACTATCGTCATATCTATCATCAATTTCATTAAACATGTCAAGTGTCAGCCTTTCTCGACCCTTGCAAACCTATACGATCCTTGACCCTTCCGCTATTGCCAGAGCAGCGTCTTGTGCGCTGGAAAGGTTTTTGGGTAAACCATCAAATCTTTGCGAGCAATCGCAAAATAGGAATATAAAACACATCTTAAAAGCAAAACACTTCTCAAATCTCTCAAATTTCCCCAAGAAGGGAAAAGTGTTAGTAGAGAAAGAAAAGAAAGAAAACAGAACAAACCACAGAAAGAAAGAAAAAAAATCTGTTATAAAGCTCGCAAATGCATCTTGAGAGCACTCTAGCGGCCGTTGAAAAGAAATTTCAGTTCATTCACATTGAGACGTCCAATCTTCATGCTTTCGGCTTCATCGAGGGCCGCCTCCACCATCTCCTTCTTCCGATTCTGGAGCTCGACAATTCGATCTTCGACAGTCTCACTGGTTAGGATGCGGTATACCTTCACCTCCTTCTTTTGGCCGATGCGGTATGCGCGATCAACAGCCTGCATCTCAATGTATGGATTCCAAAAGGGATCCATGATAACGACGCGAGATGCTGCGGTGAGATTGAGTCCAGCATTTCCCGCGCGAAGAGACACCAGCATGACCTTGACGTCGTTCTTATCACGGAAGTCCTTTGCTGCATCAAATCGCTGCTCTGAACTCATGCTTCCATCGTATCGTCTCAGTTTGCCTGGATAATTGTCGTGCCACATAGCCACCTCCAGTAAATCCAGCAAGAGAGTCCACTGAGAAAACACAATTGTCTTTTCTCCGGTTTCGTAAATCTGTTTTAAAAGGTTCATGCACTCCGACACTTTGGCAGCGGGTAGCCAAGTCTTCCTCAGGTAGCTCATGTACCTCTTGAACGCCTGTCTGTTTTTGGATGCTTCGTGACGAAGAGTCTTCAACATAGAGGGCTTAATTTCGGCTTGCTTCTTCTTGCCCTTCCTCTTCTTCTTCTTTTCCTTTTTGATTCCCTCTTGATCTTCTGATTTTACATCATACTCGGGTTCATCATGCACAATGAAATCTTTCAAATCGCCATAACGATCTACCTCATCATCGTCGTCGTCGTCGTCGGAGCCATCTTCGTCAGCGTCTGAGCTGTCAGTGTCGTCTTCTTCAGCAGCCGATGGTTGGACACATTCGGGCATATGCACTTTTTGAAATGCATCATAGGTGAAACACTTTCTAGGATCGAAGAGTCCACGGCAAACAGGGCACTTAGCCTTGTCACTTTCATTGCCCTCTTGGAGATTCGCCGCAGCTGCGCTGTCAACCAGTTGAGTCAGACACTGTTGACAAGAATCATGTCCGCAAGGGATATAAAACATAGGAGACTGAACAGCATCGTAACATATGGGACACTCAAATGCGTCAGACTCTTTGATCCTTGCCACAATATTTGCATCTAGGCTCTTGACTAGCTCAAGCATGTCCTCACTAGAGATTGGTGCAGTGTCATCCACGTCCAGGTTGAGATGGGGATGGCAGCATGCTTGTCGTAGTCGAAGCAGTAGAACAAGGATGCTCGAGTAGTTCTTGCCCACGCTACCATCGCGCAGATACTTGCTGAATTGTACCTGAGATTTCTTCTCAAGTTGGTTGTAGAAATCGCGCTCATCTTTGGACAGCTCGGCATACAAGACTTCTTCGTGTTTGTGTGGCAGCCGGAGAATAGGCTTTCCATCCAACTGGGAGTCCTTTTTACGACGAAGCATAATAGCCTTGAGGAGAGCACGAAGTCTATTCATGGCAACACTCTTGGGATCACCGTTTTTCCCAAAGAGCACACCAAAGCTCTGCAAACAATTAGCTCATTGAACTCTGGGAGTAGACAAAGAGTGAAGGGGAAGGGGGATTACCTGGCGGAACTGTTCCCACACACAGTATGGCTTTATGCGGAGGAAGCATAGCAGGGAAAAGAGCTCACCAACTCCGTTCATCATAGGAGTTCCAGTAAGGCACCATCGATGTGTCGCTCTCAACTTGTGACACGCCTTGGCAGTCTTGGTATGCTGGTTTTTAATGCATTGCGCCTCATCGAGAATAACTCGGTAGAAAATGGACTTTCTCGGGTTCAAAAGTGGAAACTTGGTTGCAATAGCTCGATCGTTAAAATCGATGTTGCGGCTCGAGTTTTCTTCCATGAATTTATCCAGGCGCTTTAGCTCTTGAGCTATTGTGCCATACGTCGTCAACACAACGTCGAATTTGAGGAGATCATCGGTCGTCGCCTTTTTGTTATGATACACAAACACAGATAGTCGATGTGATGCTCTCGTCTTTTTGTAGATTTCTTCTTCCCATTGTCGAATCAAGGCCAGCGGGCCAATAATCAAGTTGGTCTACAAAAAGCTTGGTTAGCACAAAAAAGCTTGCCAAATACCATGTCTATGGTATCCTAATCGAGGCTCACCTTAGGGCGGGACTTTGCTGGGCGGGACAGCATAAGGGCCAATGTTGATATAGTCTTACCAAGACCCATATCGTCGGCCAGAATGCCACCCTTGTTGGTTCCCTCCTCCATCTTCTTCATCCATGTCAATGCGACAATTTGGTGAGGGTAGAGGGAATTCTTAAGACCCTCTGGTGTTCCATCGCGATTGCCTTCTGGGATATCCATGTCAGGGCGGATATTCTTCAGCAAATCATCCAACTCCTGTTCTGTAACCTTGGGATCATGTAATGAGTCGTTGATGTAGTCCATTATGCGGCTAGGCAACGGATTTCCGAGCTCATCTAGTCCGTTAATATAATCAAACATGCCAGTTCTATTGATGATATCCGACAAAGGTGTTCGGCTAGCATTGCTCGCAAGAGTCGGTGCTCTGGCCATGCCAGGAAACGTTCCTGGCATTTGTCCATTTAATCTATGCTGCATATGGCCGTTGCTATAAGGAGATGCGGCTGCAAAAGGTTGAGTCATGGCTGCATATGATCCGGGCACAAAGCTATTAGCATTGGGAGCTCCGAGGGGATATTCCACCTGCAGTTGCTGCGGGTCTCCGAATCCTGACAAAAGGCTGTATGGATTATCAAAACTTGAGCCTGGAGCAGTTCCGGCCACGATAGAGTTCCATGATGCTGAATGGGATCCATTAGACTCGATTCGAGGATTTGATGGCCTTAACTCATCGTCAGAGAGGATTTCTAAGGGAGCTTGATGGGCATTAGAGCGCTGTGTGGCCATTATCCTGTCAAAGGCTGAAGGCTGCTCGGGGTCAGAGCTTCTAGGTGGCCCAGAAGCACGAGGGTAGGAGGGTTGTGAGTCTTGGCTTGAAAGAAAAATGGCCATCTCTCTATCTGCTTTCTCCTGCTCGTGTCTATCTGCTTGTCGAATCTGTTCTGCAATGTACGTCGCATCGGATTCCACATCAGCTCTGCAGAGCCCGTCAGTTTCCAGACTTTTAAATATGATGAAAAGGGCCAAACACGAATTGCAGAGCTCACATACCCAGTCAGGTCAATAATCTCGACTTCTTCGTCTGATAGTGAAGGAGGGGCAACAGCTCTTGGGCGGACTCCAAAAGGTATTGGGGTCGTCCGTCGAGACTTACTCGACTCACGGCCAGCATCCAAATGGGTTGACTCAAAGTCCCGCTTTCGATTCCTCAGCGACAGCGAGGCTGGACTCACTCCATCTGCAGCAGTCAACGGCCTGTGTGGAGTCTCCATAGCGGCTGCGCTGTAGTGCGGCCTCGAGGGACCAGCAGTGGCTGGTGTTACCCGGTTATGGACTGGTGTTGAAGAAGAAGAAGGTCAGCACCAAAGAGTTCAATCGCTGCCCGACAGAAAAAGTCAAGAATAGTCCTGACGGAGGAGTAAATCAAGAAAATATGTTCGGGGAAAGACGCGGGAAGAGGCAGCCAATTGGGCACCTTCACGTCGCACAAGGAGCAGGCCCAAGGAGCGTTTGCTGAAACAAGCAAGCTCCGAGTGACTGAGACCGTTGCCGGCACAGGAGTAACTGAGGCTCTGGTGACAAGAGAGAGGATTTTCACCTCTTGATATAATCCAGCGGGTGAAGTGGCGTGAATGCAAGGCAGCGGGAGGCGAAGGAAAAATTACGATGCAAGGGAGGAAAGAAGAAGAAAATGTATCAATGCACAGACCAGAGCGAAAAAGAGGAGTTCTTGAAACCGTGAATTTGAAAGCTTCTTCTTTTCTTATGACTGTTTTCCCCTTTGACGCAACACAGTCTCTTCTTTCGTTTTTGAGATGCAAAGAGAGAGAAGCGCCTTAGTGAGGCTGAAACGAGACATGAGAGGAGGTGACGCCCAAGGCCACGAAACAGTGATATCAGACGATAGCAGATAACGATGACTCAAAGGAAAACGAACGAAAGTATATAGAGGTACTAGAAAGCACAAAGTTTCAAAAACAAGTACTTACCTGGCGTTGCTGGAACATCTGGGCCCATCCTCCGCTGCGGTGTTACGCTTCGGCCATCTAAGAGCATCATATCAGCACCTCCAAACCAATAAGCCATCGTGAGCAGTCCGAGAGAGAAAAAGGCGAAAGGGAAAGAAAAAAAAAAGGTAAAAATGGTGTTTTTCCTTCTCCATACCTTCCTCATCTTTTTTCGCCTTGGAAAGGGCCTTCAACGCCCTCTTAAGCCTCGAAATCTCCGCCCGAGCCTCATCGCGGTCCTGTTCCACACCCTCAAACGTCTCGCCCTGCAGCGAGTCCAGAATCACCTCCTGGACCGTCAGCTCCTCCTGGAGCTCCTGACAGTTCATCGCATGCGCTGGTCGCGCCCTATTGGTACACAGCCGTGCAGGAAGAAAAAAAAATAAAGAAGGTTGTGAGGCTGTACAACAAGGGGGGTGAAGGGCCAGATTAGGCAGTCAGCGCAGCCTTTTTTTT